GGGAGGGGCAGCTCTTCCAGCTCTTCCCCAAGAACTACGTGCGCTAGGGCGGCGGCTCTGCAGGCACTCGGAACGCGAGTGCGGACTGGACACTCCGGCCGCGGGGCCGCCTGCTCCGTGTTGTACCGATTAAAGGCCGAGCTGCTGACTTGCTTTGTGTCACTTTGAGGTATCGGGGGGGGGGGAAAAAGCACAGCCAGCTTTGTAACTCCCACGAGCAGAGCATTGAATATAACCAGCCTTTGCCATGGCCTGTGCTCATTCAGCCACGTGCGTCCATCGTTACATGAGGTAGGGATACAGGTACTTATCCTTGGGGATATTAAGCTAACCCCTTGGGACGTTTCCATCTTCCTGCTATTATGTGAACAGATATCAATCCTGGATGAAATGGAGTATTCCCATGGTCAAAGCAAAACTTACAAAAGAACAGGAACCTTTTGGCCTAAGCTATAAGCCGTCTCAGTGGTGGGAACTGGCCTGTTGGTTACATGCTTAGGTTTCAGTATGAGACTATTCCTAGTTTCAAGGCAACTTCTCTTATGCATGTAGTTAGTATTTATGTATAACTGAGGCCAGCTCCTGAATCAGGCAACTGTTTGCCTGTTAGAACATTGCACTTTTTAAAGCTTCTTGTGTAAAGAAATCAAATTAACCTTTTCAGTATCTCTCACAAAACACAACAGGGAGTACCAGCAGCTATGCATCATCTCAACCTAAGTGAGCTAACAGTACTTCTGTTGTAAGACTTTTAAAAATTCTTTTTCTCCATTAACTCATTTTACTGGAGATGCAAAAGGCATCTCTGCGTGCAAATAAGGCATATACGTTACATTGGTAAGAATAATAAATGATGTTGCAATGTTCAGGGGCCAGTGTTGGAAAGCACAAACTCCTAGCTGTGCTCCAGGTCCCAAAGAAAGTGTGCTAGGAACTGTCCATCTTTTGTGCAGTTTTACAGCTGTGAACCTTACACTCGAAGTCTCACTGGGGTTTCTTTGTACAAGGAATCTTACTCTGCTGAAACAGGGTATTGCTCCATGAAAATTAACAGTAAGCTCGGGAAAGACAATGACTGAGGGGTCAGGTGCTGACCTGTGTTTTGGGAGATCCAACTTCAAGTCCCTACACAAGTGACTTATTTATAAAAACAGCTTCAAGGGGAGAGATTGAAAAATAACAATATCAGAATATCTCATAGTCCTCTGGCTAGGGCATTTTCCTGCCATATTGGATACCCAAATTCCAATTTTGTTTCCACATCAGGCACAGGGAGGAACTGAACCCACATGAGCACCCTGACTCCAGTGGTTCCCAGTTTTTTATGAAATGATCCACCACCTGCTTTTTGTCTTTTGAAAGGACCCACTATTACTACTCTCCCCCTTCACTTGAATCCTCTGGTAGCCCTCCTGCTCAGCTCTCCCTACCACCCTAGTCAGCTCCTCTCCCCTCACAGCTGGAGGGCAGTTGCTTCCAAGCTGCTGCCTGCCTGTCCACTTGCTGACTCTGGCCATTTCTTCTGTGTGGCTAGCATCCAGATCTCCCTTTTGACTCCACTGCCCAGAGTAAGATCAAGGCGGAAACACAGAGGAAGTGGCCTGAGCCAGATCACAGTCTATTATGTCATGTGCCTTAGAAGCTTTCCTTCATGCTGCTGCTGCCCAGCAGACAAGTGAGGAGCAACTGTAGGCACCGCCTTGACCCCTCCTACAACCCATTGTGGAGAAACACTGCAACCAGTAGACCAGTGGTCTCCAACCTTTTTACACCCAAGATCACTTTTTAAATGACAGACCAAGCCAAGATCTACCACCCCGCCCTTTCCTTGAAGCCCTGCCCTCTCTATTCTCCTCTTTTCCATCACTTGCTATCCCCAATCCTTATACCGCTACTTAAAAAAAAAAAATTCCCACCATTCCTCGCAGCTACTCACCTGTGCTGTTGCTCAGTGAGTAGCTGCTCCTCAAATGAGGAAATCTAATGTAAATGTACTGTGCAGGCGCACAGTTCAGGGGACTTGAGCTACTCTTAGAGCCTCCGAGATCTACCAGTAGATTGCGATCTACTGGTTGGTGACCATGGCAGTAGACTAAAAAGTTATAATGGGAATCCTGCTGCCCTGGCCCTTTATGAATCTCGTTCTTCTTTGCATGTCAAAATGCCCAAAATTGAAATGAGACATTTCAAATCAAAATGTCTTCAGAATAGTCAGTAATATAAAATCAAGTCACTCAACTCTACACAGGTTTGCTATGTCTAGACTGGCATGATTTTCCGCAAATGCTTTCAACAGAAAAGTTTTCTGTTAAAAGCATTTGTGGAAAAGAGCGTCTAGATTGGCACGGATGCTTTTGTGCAAAAGCATTCATGACCAATCCAGATGCGCTTTTGTGCAAAAAAGCCCCGATCGCCATTTTCGTGATGGGGGCTTTTTTGCTCAAAACAAATCTGAGCTGTCTACACTGGCCCTTTTGCGCAAAAGGACTTTTGCCCGAATGGGAGCAGCATAGTATTTCCGCAAGAAGCACTGATTTCTTACATGAGATCGTCAGTGTTCTTGCAGAAATTCAAGTGGCAAGTGTAGACAGCTGGCAAGTTTTTCCACAAAAGCAACTGCTTTTGCGGAAAAACTTGCCAGTCTAAACACAGCCGAATTCTAAAGCACAAGGGGCCTAGGAAATTCATGTTGTTCAAGTGCTTGTTCCTATGCATTCCAATTAAGTCTGTGCAGTGGCCAGGTTTTCCCATAGTGCTTTGAACACCCTCTGTAGTTGTGAATTCATGATGCCCAAGTTAGCACCCTGTCAACCAGCCCCCTCTTTAGCTCCTTATCTCCGCCAACTATAAACTGGAACATCCCACAGCTCTTGCTTTCCTCTAGTTGGGGTGTGTGTGTGGGTGTGTGTGTGTGTGTTTTCAATTTATTGTACTTAGTGTACATAGTTGACCCATCAACACCAGCTCCATCGGCAGTGATCATGTAACTAGGGATGTTAAATATTGGCTAACTGAATAGTCAATTAATCTCATTAATTATCAGTTACTTGACTAATCTGTAGTTTCCAGGGGCTCCAGTCCCAATCCCAAACAGCCCCCTGCCACTCCACACTGCTGCCTCCTTACCTGGTGATGATGGTTAAAAGGGTGCTAGGACTGGTGTACACTCCCTGCCAGCAGGACCTGGACCCTCCCTGCAGTCACCAAAGCCTTGAGGCCATGATTACAGTCGGTGCCGGTCCCGGGTACACCAACAGTGCTGGTGCCTGCTCATTTCTCATACCTCCGATTCTGTTCCTCGTTTTGTCTCAATACTTTCACAGGCATTTTACATTTGGTAGACTTAAGTCCAGAAAGTGACTTTATTAATCTTTGTTCTCAGCAACATCCCATATGCATAATAAAAGTACAGAGTGATTAACAATAATCTAAACTCTGTGTCTATGTCTAGACTGGCCAGTTTTTCCAGAAAAACTGTCTACACTGGCTGATTGAATTTCCGCAAAAGCACTGACTTCCTACTGTAAGAAATCAGTGCTTTTTGCGGAAATACTATGCTGCTCCCGTTCAGGCAAAAGTCCTTTTGCGCAACACTTTTGCGCAAAAGGGCCAGTGTATACAGCTCAGATTTGTTTTCTGCGAAAAAGCCCCGAACGCAAAAATGGCGATCGGGGCTTTTTTGCGGAAAAGCGCGTCTAGATTGGCACGGACGCTTTTCCACAAAAAGTGCTTTTGCGGAAAAGCGTCTGTGCCAATCTAGACGCTCTTTTAAAAAATGCTTTGAACGGAAAACTTTTCTGTTAAAAGCATTTCCGGAAAATCATGCCAGTCTAGATGTAGCCTGTCTGAAATCCAGCAGCACAAAAGAGAACCAATACATTTGAATTTCATTGGAAGTTTTCCATAAATGAAACAACTCAAACTTTTTAGAAAAATCCAAAAATAGTTTAATGTAACAAACTTTTGTTTACAATGCTGACATGCATCTCCAAATAACACTCAAAAAAGAGTTGTTCCAAAATACACATGGTACCCTCAAACAAGGTTTTGTGCCTTAAAAAGCTTAGTTATTTCTGTACATGGTTTTAATAACTGTATGAATTTATTACAAAAATTATAGTTGCTGCTGTTTCTTCCCTCCTAGACGAATGATTCATTAAAAATCTCAATGAAAAACTATACAGGCTAAAAGTTAATTTTAAGATGAGTTTTTGGATGATGATAATCAAGAATACCAAGGTAGTGCTTCATTAGTGTAGTGCCTTGCTGATGTTTTAGAGGGTGTGTCCAGAATACAGGGTTTTGTCAACAAAACTATACCTGCGTCTATACTACCGCCGAGTTCTGTCGACAATAAGTAGACAGAACATGGCAGTTTTGTCGATGGCGGTAAACCTTATTCTACAAGAAATAACGCCTTTTGTCGACAAAGTTCTGTCCACAAAAGGTGCTATTGCGTCCACACTGTGCTTTTTCAAAAGAGAGCATCTAGACTCTCTGTCGAAAAAGTGGCTTGCTTTGTCGACAGAGCTGGCTGTAGTCTAGACACACTTTGTCGACAGTATCTGTTGACAAAGCCTGTGGACAAAAGCTTGTAGTCTAGATGTACCAATAGTCAGAATCTTAACACGGCAACCTCAAGGAATTTTGGAGCAATCCCACTTAGGATTGCATTATTAATAATTTTATATTTTTAAAGAACATCCAGTAGTGTTGCTAACAGTATTTGAGGGTTTTGAGATTGAAGCTCAAAAAGCTACTCAGTTTTTTTTGTTTTTGTTTTTTTAAACCTACTTTAAATGCTAGTCACATAGCTCTCACTCTCTGGGTACCAAAGGATATGGGCATGTTGCAGCTGGCTTTCCTAAAAGATTTCTTTGCTGCAAGTACGAATACACAAGTGGTGCTTGTTGACAAGTGATAACCTAAAAGTCATCTTGTACACACGCAGTAGATTAGGTGTAAAATTATACATATGCAGCCACAGCAAAATCCTCGTGATTAAGACACTTCACTACACAACTTCACTTGCAATCTGTTCTGTCATGTACATTGAGACAATCTGGGATTTCATTCCTAAAGGAATCTGTATGCAAGGTCACTATAAGTACATTCCCTGTGCAGCATGACCTCATAACACACGGCAGTTGACAAAACAGGTCCCACAGTGAGCGAGGTTTGTATTCAGACATTCCATATAAACTCCCTTAACTTTGTGGCTATTATTTAGCAATGTGCTTATATAATTTAATGTTGCACCAAGGTTTGCTTGGGAGAGAGGGACAAGGAAAGGTGCCTGCCACCTATCCACATCTTCAGAATTGGAGGCAAGATTTACAAACATGGACTAGTCAAGGGAGGTAAATGTTATGCCTAAATGAGCAGCCTTTGAAATGCACCATCACCACTCTCAATCACAACAGTAAAGGACAATCAAGCAGAGAAAGCCATATTTTACTGTGTCCCTTAGCAAAGACAGGAGACTATCCATTTTGGTTTAGTCTGAGTTAGACAGATAATACTAAGAATCTAGTTGCCTTAATTTAACAGTATAGGTCTTCAGAAATTCAAGAGTCATGAACTCCAAGGCAAAGAAACTGGAAAAAACCCAGTGGAAGTCATGCTGGGCATAGGCGGTAGATATAGTTCTCAATACAGGCAGTCCCCGACTTACGCGGATCCGACTTATGTCGGATCCGCACTTACGAACGGGGCTTTCTCGCCCCGGAGGTCGAGGTAGCGGATTGCTACCTGCGAGCTCCGGGGCGAGA